TTACCATATGAAGATGTGCACCTGGTATTTTAAACATTATTTGATAATTTTTCTGAATTTTACAGGTGTTTTTTATTTTTTATTTTTATTGACTTAGTCATTTTGGGTTCGTGTCTAAGGTTTGAGACATAGAATCTAAAACATCTGTACAAAAATGTGAACTACAGCTTAAAACAACTCATTAGAACTAAAAAAAAAAACACAAAGTATTGAAAACAGTTTTTACATTACACAGCAGATAGTGTAAATCTATTTGTCCCTTGGGAGTAATGAGTGGACATGCATCCAGTTAAAGATTAATTAATGAGTTCAGTGTGGGAAGCTGTTAGGGCATCTCTGATCAAGCAGGTCTTATCTGTATCTCAGGGGAATTGGGCAGAAAGAAATAAAGATCTCTGTTGTCTAAGTCTCTTTCTTGTAATTTATGTCTGTCAAAATACATAGTTACTAAAACCAGCCTTTTATTTTTAAAATGAGTTTGATATAAAGGTATTAAAATCAATTTGATTTTGTATAATTAATTATGATATTTTTTTTTCAACAATCAATTTGCAGAGTGTCATGTCTCACAAAGATGGCAGATAGTTGCAAACTATTTTTTCAATGTAATAAAAAACACTGTAATTATTAGTGTTGATGTTTTATTAGGCTGCACCTTAGTTTCATTCATTAAATAAAGTGCACCACCACAGCATGATACGCCCATCAAATATTGTTAAATTATGATCATAAACAGTTTAGATTCAATTGTTCGAATGATATCTTAGCGAGACAAGGCAGTCTGCAATTTGTTGTAAAGATATAAAAATTCAAATAAAAAATGCACAATAAATAATTAGTTTAAATTATATTATACAATATCATATAAGTTTTAATTATTGTATACAATATCAAATTAGTTTTAATTACATCAAATTTATCTTGAAAGTAAGACTAGCCAACAAGAACAATTCAATACAACAAGAGCAATTAATTAAGAGACTGATTCCTTTTGCCCATTTCCCAAGAGATGTAGATAACACCTGCTTGATCAGAGATGCTCTGCCAGTTATCTCCTCACACTAAACTCATTAATATATCTCTAATTTTACATGCAATTTTCTGCTATCAAAATTTTCCTTGACCAGTGCCTGATCATTACACCCATGGGAGAGGTGGAATTTTTGTTGTTACAGATTGCTGTAAAGAACATAATGAAAAAAATAAGACTAGTATTCTCTTGATTTAACACTTTTTTAATAAAGATACTGCAATACTCTGACATCTTTTGGGATTGTGTAATTTAAAACTTAAAAGACATAGTTTTTTGATTCTAAGTCAAATGGTTTTCTAGTTATGATTTGTCCATATTTGGCCATAGCATCTTTATTAAAGGTCAGAGCGACCTGGTTTTAATGTGCGACACACCTTCTACCCTAGATGTATCAGCTGACAAAGTTTGATAATTCTAGGCCTTATAGTATTAAAGTTATGAGCCAGACATGAAAAAGCTAATGGACGGACGGACATGAACGCTATAACATAATACGTCCCGTCTTAAGACGGACGTATAAAAAAATATAATGAGTAATTAAATTTTCACTGTAAATGTTTAAGGAAATTGTGAACACCTCTCGCATCTAGAAAACATTAGTGATTTGGTACTTTCTCTGAAAAACCCAGCGGGGGGTATTTGTCCCTTTTGGACAGTTCTAGTTACATATTATTATGCTTCCTGTCAGTTTGTCTCTATATAATCAATACCCAACTATTTTCGCATAGTGTTCTAAGGAATTATATATCGTAAGCATACTATGCCAAATTAGCTAGTGCATGGCTTCTTTTTCGGAAGAAAATCCAACAGCGCCCAGGCCGTGGAGCGAACTCGCGACCCCGAAATCGTCAGTCTGACTCGCTACCGATTACACCACAGACGCCATTATCTAAAGCACTGTATTATTAATATATTCGATCAGTGCATATTATCTATTCAAGAAATATTACTAAAGTCAGGTACTCTTCACACAATTGCTCCGAAGAAAATAGTTCCATTCATGATCAGTAGATAAAACATTACAACAAATATTAAGAATAATCAAGTATATTTAATACGTTAAAGAAAACAAAATTAACGTTAAAAGATTTTAAGAAAATCACTTTTTCCCCAGAAAAGCAAATAAAAAGTTTTCATATTCCTACGCTCGCTGCCTCCTCAGTCTTTTTCACGAAAATATATAGGTCACACTTCGATTGATAATGATAAATCTTTTCACCAATTATATTACTGTCATGATTATTGTTCGTTAATTGCCGTATATTTTCTTTTGAGTTAGAATGTTAATCATTAACTGTGTGTGTGTTTTTTCTCTCTTTTTTTAAATAACGGAATGGTTATTATGGTTAAACACTTCTCGGCAAAGCAACGTGATTTTCCGAGCTCGGAAAGATCTTCGCACGTGTGTAGACCTAGGCTATTTGGTCTTGCAAGAACAGGTGTGTGCACCGTTCCCTAGTGACGCTTAGATCAGTAGACTGGGTATCAGTACTTGCTACGGACATAAAGAAGTTTAGAACTATACACCAGTTTCATAACAAGTGCAGGTTTTTTACTCCAGGTGAAGCCCTAGACTGGGCTAGAGGGGCTGAGTTATGGTCATCGATCTAACACGAAAATGTACTATTTTTGTAAATAAAAACATTTCTAGAAACAAAAATGAAGTTTATCTTCAAAACGTCTGTATATTCAAAATCAGTATATGGTGGAGGAATATTCAGTGATGCTCCATAGCCGCAACCGATCTCGCGCTTTCCTTTGCGTTTGACAACGGCCGTCAATGCATCACTGGACGAGTTCATTGATTACTCTAAAAGGTGACAGGTTGGACCATCTTTAACATCTGCCTATACTTTGAGTGATAGTACTTTTTAATAGCACAAAATCAAAAAATAAATTAAAATCTATCCTTGATAGATATATAGTTTTGCTATTTATAAAAATGGGCTATCTTTGATAATCCATAACGGCTTGGACTTGTTTTGATTTTTTTTTTTACAGAAGATTCTATCATTGGAAAGTTAGATGGTACACATGTAGCACAGGCCCATAGTACGCGGGATTTTTTGGGAGTCCCCCCCCCCCCCCCTTCACTTTGAAAACGTTGCTATAGGCCTGTAACATGCTACTTGGATTAAATATTCCTGAAAATGAGTGAGGCGTTAAATACATTTTTAAAATTATACGATTAATTATATTTAGTTTATGTTCTATGTGAAATTAAAACTATTTTTATGCATGTGCAACTTTGTGATAAAGTCACTACATGCAAGTAACGTTATATATGTACACGCAGTTTGTTTCCTACTATATGCATATTTTATTCAACAAAAGATGTTGAAACTCAGTAGCCTAAATATTATGTCATTTTAGGATATTTATGTATATGGCACTTTTATAGTTGACTTTCTACAGCTCGAGTATCTCTGACGTTTTGTCAGTAAATACTTGTTTTTTTATTAGAAATCATCTGAACACAATGAAAATTCGAATAAATTAAAAGTCGAATATCTTGGATATGGGGTAACCCATATCTATTCTTGTAATATATATAAACTTAGTTTCAAATATTTTACACTTAAATAAAAAAAATAAAATAATTTTCTAAAATAGTTTCTTGCAATTTTTTCCCCTTCACTCAACTAAAATTCTCTGAAACTACATGTATCTGAACATGGAACATTCAAAATTAAAGGAAAAAAGATTATGATGTACATGTAGCACAACATGACATCATAATAGGGGTGTACTAATATGAATGTAAGAGGTGATGAAAGATTGGAAATGGAGATAATATTGTCGTTTTTATACAACAGTCAGCATAATAATAACAGTAGTGTTGTACCTTGCATGCACTATGCCTGACTACTATATAGGCATAGTGCATGCAAAGTACAACACTATTATACAATCATGTCATGAATAGAGCTATGCTATTTTCATCAAATAACAGTAACAGTAGTTTTCCAATTTTTGTTCTGTCTTTGAAATTGTACTCTCCTTTGAAAAATCATATATTATATACCAATTTCAACCCAATGACCTTAATATATTCTAATAATTTTTAGATGTTTGAATAATTAGTTTGCTTCTGACATCGTTTCAACCATATTTTAGATAATACATAATTTTATGATTAGACGCTGTTCCATACGGATGGCCGATGTCGCTTTTTCTGTTAATTTTTGAAACATATTTGTTGCAGTTTTTTCTTAAGGTCAAGAATTAGTAAATGAAAGGAGCCTACAATTTCTTTAATTTGAGAAATAGATTCCTTTAATGACTATAACTTGGTCAAATAAGGTGTATTGGAGCATAACTCTTAGGTAAACAAGATTAAAAAAATCATATTTTAGGCTGTTACTTTCAATGAAAAATTAAGAAAACCTGTCATGAATATGGGAATTTATTTCCATGTCAGACAAAGGAAATGTACCCAGATTGCCTATACTGTCTCTAAGAAAACTGTAATTTGTATGTTCTTAGCTTTTGAGGTAAAAAGTTAAATTTAACATGTACCATATAGCTGAACTCGACAATTATAGTCACCAAAATATTTGTTTATAAATGACAGGAAAGTTCTTGAATTTCTCTGCCATTGACATTAGGTGTGTAACAGGAAAATGCAATAAGCAAGAACAGGATTTGAACCCAGCCCTCTGAATCACTTATCAGGTGCTTTAGCATGTTTATTAACTGAGTGATCTGGCGATGGTGATCAAGCCTGCCTGATTGCCATATTCCTCCCTCCTTAAATTGTATTTGCCCTTAAAGACACAACTCAAGTTCTTTTTACCCCTGGCAAGCCTTTTACCTGCAAGTCGAGGGGTGATCAATGGCACCAAATAAATATGGGATGGACCAAACCAGGATTTGAACCTAGGTCCCCTGAATCACTAGTGTAAGTTTCTTTTTAAAAGGAATAACATTTTAATACACATAGTAAATTAGAATTTCATTTTTTCAGGAAATGGATAAAAAATATGTATGTGTCGAGCAACTATAGGCACTTGATAGAAGGGTAAATTGGAAAGTTCAGATTACATTATGCCAACAGAGATGACAACAAAACCAACCAAGCTAAAAGTTGTCCAGGTTAGAATCATTTTTTTCAATAAATTATGTACATTTAATATTATCATATCAACTTACAGATGGTTGTTATTTTTTTATATATCTGTTGTGTAGGAAAACTTTTGTATTGGAGCAAGACAAGTTAATGACTTAATGATAGACTCACTGCAGAGAGAGATGTTGGAAAAGTGGATTTTGTTAACAAAAGGAAGATAAGGTAAAATATGAGAGGAGTTGTGAGTTTTGTATGACACAGTACTATTTGTTAACCAAAAAATTAATCTGAAAAATCTTGAGAAATTAAAGTAAAGAAACTTCGTGAAAAGGAGCGCATGCACATAAGGGGAAGCAACCTATTGAAAATTATCTTGCAGCTGTTCTCGGGTCAAAAAGTGCTTTAGGATTAATAACTTGTATGCTTATATATAAGGAAAATCTGCATAAGAGAAGAAAGAGGGTGCATCTAGATAAACAATTTTATTTCTCTATGTTAAATAGCTGACATTGACTGTGTTCTTGATTTAAAAAAATATGTACATATGTTGGGGTAACTTCAACTGAGTGTTAACATCTACTTTAATTAGTTCATCGAAACTTGTGAACAGGATCATATGATCCTGCGTGTACTATTTAAGACTTTATTTTTTAGCTCACCTCGACGAAGTCGAGATGAGCTAATGCTATATCCCGGCGTCGGCGTTAGCGTCGGCGTCCCGGTTAAAGTTTTAGGAGCAAGTCCCATTCCCAAGTAACTATAAGCCCTACCTGGACCAAACTTGCATGGATGATGCATCTAGGGATGGACACTACCAAACTTGCTTTGGATGCTGGATCTGACCTAGATTTTCCAGATGAGTGACCAGGTTAAAGTTTTAGAGGCAGGTCCATTCCCAATAACTATAAGCCCTACCTGCTTCGGATGCTGGATCTGACCTAGATTTTCCAGATGAGTGACCAGGTTAAAGTTTTAGGAGCAGGTCCATTCCCAATTAACCATAAGCCTACCTTGACCAAACTTGCATGGATGATGCATCTAGGGATAGACACTTACAAACTTGCTTCGGATGCTGGATCTGACCTAGATTTTCCGGATGAGTGACCAGGTTAAAGTTTTAGGAGCAGGTCCATTCCCAAGTAACTATAAGTCCTACTGACCAAACTTGCATGGATGATGCATCTAGGGATGGACACTACCACACTTGCTTCGGATGCTGGATCTGACCTGTATTTTCCGGATGAGTGACCAGGTTAAAGTTTTTGAAGCAGGTCCATTCCCAAGTAACTATAAGCCCTACCTGGACCAAACTTGCATGGATGATGTATCTAGGGATGGACACTTCCAGACCTGCTTTGGATTCTGAATCTGACATACCTTTTCCAGATGAGTGACCAGGGTAATTTTTTTGGAGTAGCTATATAATATTATGGCCTGTTATGATTAAACTTGCATAGATGGTGCATCTAAGGATGAAAACTTCCAGACTTGCTTTGAATGTTGGAACTGACCAAAATTTTCTTGATTACTAAACAGGTCAAAAGTTTTTTGAGCAGGTCTATAATTAAATCAAACTTGCATGGATATTGATCTTGGGATGTACCCTAACTAGAAAAAAAATATGATGTGAAATTTGCCTTACTTATAGATAACATTCGTCGAGGTGAGCTTCGTAATCTTTGATTACCTATGTTTTTTTTTAACTTAGATGCTTAATTTAGCTTTGACAACTGAGTGTGTTGAACATCATTATCAAAGATTCCATTCATTTAAGATTTTATGTCGGTTAAGAAATGTGTCATTTAGGGAGATTTGTTTTTTATACATCATATGTACATGTGCGTAAGTTATTTTGTAATTATTTTATAGCAAAGTAAATTTTTCAATTATGATTGTTCTAATTTTTAGAGATTAATAGAGATTTTTCTTTTCTTTTTTTTTTTTTTTTACAGATCAAGGCTGCCAACCTTTGAGAGAAACACTTCAAAAAAGAGTGTTTAAATTCAAGACATTCACTTACAGTACATGTACTCTATAAAAATTATAAAGTAAAAGTTATTTATTTAATTTGGAAAAGCATTTGAGAAACAGAGGATGTGAAAAAGACTTTGTCCATTTCAAGCTATCTGTTGTCAAGTACCAGGCATATGTGGATTTTATTGAACAACTTTATTATGAATTTGAATAGCAACTTTCAATATCTGGAAGCATTTTTATCAGTAGGGATGTAGATGTTAAATTATATAAAAATTATTTTTTAAAGGATATTTATCAAGAAAATTTTTGTAGATTAATAACAGGTAAAATTTGTAATGAGAGATCTTTTATTGATCATTTGCAGTAGTAAGTGACACTTGTTATAATTATACCCCCGACTCTGAAGGAGAGGGGGTATACTGTTTTACCCTTGTGTGTCTGTCTGTGTGTCTGTCCGTAACAATTTTTCGTCGCAGTTTTCTCAACAACTACTCATCAAAGATGCTTGAAATTTTAACACTTTATGACTAGGCATGCCATATTGTGGGATTCATGAGTGAATATTCACATCGGAGCGGGGGTATTACTAGTGAGCATTGGCTCACAGACTTCCTAATTATCTCTATAATTTAAGAAATCCAGTAATTGAAAGATCTTTGTGCAATTTAATGATACCTGGTAATGCTTGCACACCTTATCTGAATCAAATTTTGAGGAAGTACCACATAAAACTTTTTTGTGGGGGGGGGGGGGGTTCTTTTAAAAAATGCAAGGGTTTCCGTCATTTGATATTTTTTCAAAACTCCTGATACATGTACATGTAATGTATGCTGATTTTTTGTTAAAGAACATCTAATGGTATCATGATTTTAAATTATATTTTCTCTAAAAATTATCAGTTGGAAGGTTCACTGTAAAGTGCATGTACATTGCATATGACCTTAAAAGTACTGTGGTGGCAGAAGGCAAGAAAAAAAAATCTTTAATATTTTTCAATTTGGTAAGTGTACTATATTTTTATTTCGTTAACCTGTCAATTTTAGATCAAAGGAATAAAGGTTAAAAACTATTATTTGACTCTTTGTTTTCATGAGTTATCTAGAGCAGGCCTGTAGCAACAGTTTCAAAAGAAAAAAAACCCAAACTGACCAAAAGTGTGTGTGTGGGGGGGGGGGGGGTTCCCGAAATTAACTGACAAGCAAAAAAGAAAAGGTGATTTACTGTCCAAATCCTGGAATTTGCCAGTGCTCCACCTTACAACATCAAAAAGTGGGAGGGGGGGGCATCCAGCATTCCCCCCCCCCCCCCCCCCCCGCATTCTACGGGCCTGCTAGAGACATCTAATAGTCTATTTTAATCAACATGTGAATGCAAATTTCAAATGGTTTATCAACTAATATAGATAGATGTATGTTGGAAAGGACCAAGAGAATTTTGTAATTATATACATGTACATTATACAGCTGACCATATGGTCTGAAGTTGACATTAAAAATTGCAAAGTTGTAGAGTAAAATCAAAATTTGTGCCCCAGATTTTGTGATGACAGTGGCATTTTTCTTTTAAAAAAATTTTATGAGTTCAAGTGAGCTTTGTCCAGTGTCTGCCCATCTGACTATCCACTTGTCTGTAAACTTTTCACATTCGACTTCTCAATATCCGCTAGGCCATTTTTAACCAAAGTAGCTACAAAGCATCCTTGGGTAAAGGGAATTTTAAATTTTTAAAACGAAGAGCCAAGCCATATGCTTCCAAGAAGGAATAATCAAGAAAAGGCAGAAACAGGGTGGGGTCAAATAGGGTAAATAATCTCAAGAACCACAGGACCAGAAAAGCTGAAGCTTACGTGAAAGCTTGCTAAGGTAGTGTAGATGTCAAGTTGTTTAAATCATTTCCCTGGGGTAGGATAAGGCTACAATAGGGGGTCAAAGTTTTACATTGAAATATACATTTATATATAAAAAAAATCTTCTCCAGAATCACTGCATCAGGAAAGATGAAATTTAGCAAACTTTACTTAAGAATACATCTATATGAGGGGAAACAGCAGGGCCAAAGTGACTCAAGGTGAGCGTTGTGGGCCAAGGGCCTTACATTGTAAAATTCAGGATGACCGTTACAGACATTGGAACGTGGATGTTGGGTCTGTCTGTTGAACATTTTTTTTTTTGTTTACCTTATACGATATGTGGATTAATCTTTCCCCAAAGCATCATATTTCATATTACTTCAAAGGTAGAAAAAGAAATTATAGAAGTTACTTGAATTAATCATTGCACATCTTTGCTAACTATATTACATACTTGTAATTTAATAACTCTGAAAAATAGGGGGCGGGCTGGACTACTTCGACACCTTCCACCGCTTGATCGCTACCGAACGGTCTCTCAGTTCAAGTCGTCGAAAAATAATTGCATATCAGGCCCGTAAGAACTACATGGAGACCAGTCCCCCCTCCCCCCCCCCCTTCCTTTTAATTTTGCCGTTATATACTACACAATAGTATCAAAATTACGGTTATGCCCTGATTTTTGTTCAGCTGCGCCCCATTTCCGTACTGTAACTGCATCCTATAGATCAGCCATGTTACATACATGTACTACATGTAGTAATAAGTGTTTTTTTAATACATACGAAAGCTATCAGTTTTGTATTATTATTATTATTTTTTTTTTTTGTTCAACTCACTAAATATTCGTTCCTTGGGAGAATTGTGTTCTTTGAGATGTAGGAGACAAAATAAACTTAGTATACTATTCATTATTTTCAAGCTACATTCTTCCCCAATCAAGGAAATTTTCAGTGATTTAAACTAAAAACTTGTAGAAATCATGGAAAATCGCCTGCGAGAAAGTGGCCAAAGGGTTGCTGAAAAAGTTATTTATCCGACATTATTTTTAATTACATATAAGTATATAAAATGACTCGTATGTATACATTTACACAAATATTTTTTTTTTTTTAAATAGAGTCCAGAATACGATTCTTGCAAGAAACAAATAATGTAAGTAGGTGAATAATACAACAGTCATACCTTTACGAGCAGGTTTTTCCGTGAGTTGAAAGGGTACCTGTTCTGTTTTTCAGTCTATAGAATTTGGCTTCTCCCTTACATAACACCCCAATCCCAATGACAAAAATATAAAAGCAACATCCACTATTTTTTTAATGACATATTAACATTGACAATGAATTGCGGCATTAGAGACCCAATATTAAATGAAATGTACACAAAAAATTAAACATTAATTACTTGTATGGTAATTTGTTTGTAAAATGAATATAATTAAAATTATTAATTTATGTAAAAAACACACACACACACACACACACAAAGGAAATAGAACGCGTGTCATTTAAAAAAAAAAAAAAAAAACATGCCAAAGAGCTGACGGGATTCCGCTACAAAACAGGGACACGCCCTTTCCATGGTAATGAACACGTGGAGTTCTCTCTGGTGATAATTCACATTAGTTTGATTTTGAAAAGCTGAGAAGTAGAAGGCAACCGGAAACAGAAACGTCTTCTTTTTACATGAATTTTACTCATGTCCAAATATATCAGCCACATGATTTTCCAAAAAAAGAAAAAGCTTTCACATACTTCAAATTAAATTTATAAATCCCCTTTACATGCGTATATTTACAGACAGGGAGCAAATTTTACATACATGCAAAATTTGCACCTTGATGTTTTAGCGAATGCAAACGGGGGGGGGGGGGGGGGGGGGGGATAAGCAAGTTTTGTACGCGAGTATTTTTACTCCTAGTGCAACATTTACATCTAGTCAGACTAGGTTCAAATAAAATTTTACATACGAGTAAATTTACTCCTTATGTATTTTCAGTCATCTGAACGCATAACAAAATTTAGATAAGAATAAAAATATTGCAATTGTCTAAAAAATACATCATCAATTGATTTCATTGAAAAAAACTAGAAAGTCCTAACAAGTATATTTACTTAGTACTTCGAAAAAGCAAATTTCATGATCATACTGATGTATTTACAAATGTCTCTGTCCGTGATAATACTACAAAAATTGAAAAACAGTTTGAGAGTGCACGTGCACCCATCGCAAAAATAAGAGTAAATTCTCCATCCATACATGAAAAGTTTACGCCGGTAAGTAAACGAGCGCATGTGAAACTACTATTTGCAACTTTTAATAATTGTGTACCTATAAAAATACCCATTATTATATATTATACATTTCAAAATTATAAAGACCAATAGCGCTTTTGAATTAGATTCAGCAGGAAAATGAAAATTTTTCTAGATATTGTGTGTTGTTTTACTAAAATTTACCTTGAATTTGTTACAAAATTTTATTTACACATGTTTTTCTAATACATTTGCTTCTGTAGGTCATCGCTCCACGATTTTAAAGTGTTATTTGTGTGTATCAAACTATTGAAATTAAAATTTTAGATCCCAAAAAGCCTTTTCTCGACATATTCAGCCATATTTTGATTTTAAAAACTAGAAATAAAATTGCAGTTTTGCTAAAAAATTTATTTGAAACATTTTTGCGTATCGGACAATTCCCTGGTGTTTGGAAACATACTCATGTGATTTCTGTCTTTAAAACAAAATCATTAATTAAGTTAATTACATACCGGTATCCTTATTATGCTGCATAGGAAAAATCTTTGAAAGAGTAATGTTCAAATACATTTGTAAATTGTTATACATGTACAAACTACATTATGGCAGGAGCGTAGCCAAATAAAAGTGAAGTATACGAAGAGGACGACGGGGGTGGGGTGGGGGTTAATTTCCAGTTTTCACAAATCGAAACTATATTAAAAATATTAACAAATTAGCATGGTTTAACTATGCTACAACAAAAAGTGGAAGGGGGCCTTTCAGTGAACATTTTCAATAGTCAAAAGTTAGGTTTGGAAAAGTGTAGGCAGGGAATCCTCCTCCTCCTCCCCCCCCCCTTCCCCCCACGATACTACATGCCTGCTGGTGAGGGCCCAGAAGTTTCTGAGTTTTACCAAATACGTGTATATCATTCATTTTCTTGCAAAATAAAAATTATGTCATTTATCTTTTGTTTTGAAATAGAAGACATAATATTTATTGTTTTAACGCAAAATTAATACTTCTACGGAAACTTAGTGTACATGTAGTTTAGGCTAAATATCTAATCGATATTTGGTATCATACTCTTTTCTATCGTTCAAAAACTTGTATACTTAATGTTAATTATTAACAAAAAATATCGTATTTTAAATTATATACTACATGTACATGTAGTAGATCATGACATTCAAGGATGTGTTTGAAATTTTATTTCTCAAAGATCTTTAAAAAAAATATATCAAAAATTATCAATGTATCAAAGAACGAATACAAGTTCATGAATGCTTTATTTAAATTTGGCAATGATTTAATAAAGGACTTCAAAATTTATTATATAGTAATGATTATATAAAATTCAAAGCGCTCTTCAGCAGTATAACACAAAACAATTCGAAATCCGAATATTTGTTGGATGGTACTGAGATTTTTTCTTCGAATAACTCTCTCTCTCTCTCTCCCATAGAATTTATTTATTCATTATATTTATTTATTTATTTATTTTACAATTATGTGTATGCACTTGCGTATTTGCGTATAGGCAGCTACTCGCCTGTGTGGATTTTTAAGAAATCATTAAACAGTCACCCAGTTAAAAGAAATTTATCATAATAAATGGTTTGTGTTAAACAATAAAGAATTCGAATTAACTTGTTTAGCATTTTATGATAACAGCAAGACATTCGATGCGGTTTATCTAAAAGAACCAGAGACAACATAGATTTGCGGGTGGAGTTCTTACCTTGTTGGCAAATAATCTTTTCAATCCATCGCAACAGATCAAAAATAAATTTTCAGTATATTTAGTGAGAAAGACGGAAGCTGGAGTTCCACAGGGCTCTATTCTTGGACTTCAACTATTCTTTGTTGATATACAATACCTACCAGGTGGTCTATTGGGTACCTCTAGGATATTGGCATATGATGCATATTCGCGTCAAACACCTTTCAAAACGTGCAGAACTTAGAAAGCCTGAGCAATCACGACTTATAAATGAAGAATGGCTAAAACGACTTGTGAAATTTAATTCTAATTACCAAGCTAAAATTATTAATATTTTGCAGCAATGAAGATTATTAGATAAAATATATAATTGCACTTAGTGTTGAATAATCAGCAAATCGATCCTTCTCTTGGTCACTATCATCTTAGACTTACATTCTCAAACCCTGGGAAGTGGACAAACCACACTGACAGTATTATACAAAAGGCTTCCAAAGAAATTGCAGTTTTTAGTAAATTAAAAGGGTTACGTATCCTGACTTCCTAGCTTAAATGTATTCTAGTATTACATTTATACATGTAAGACCGATACCACTTTTGGAATATGCATTAGAAGCATTGAACAGCATCTCCGCAGCTGCTCTGAAATGCCTGATAAACTTCAGCAAGAAGCTGTACATATTGTAACTGGCGTTCCTGTTTATCGTGCCTTGCAAGATTTCAATTTTTTGTGCCCCCACCGTACATTATTCTTAAATTGAATCATTTAACTATTCTCTGTTAAATTTTAGTTCTCTATAACCTTACAACTGTAAGGAAAAAAAAATGTCCACCTAAGCCAGATTTAGTACTTACGAAAATATACACTGGTCACCTTAACTCACGTGAAAGGGTTACAAAATATTAGGGAGACCAATTTTTTTGTATATTTTTACCTACAAGTTTTCTGTAAAATTTAGCATTAGAATGGTAATTAATAAGACCAAGTACCAACAAAAATGCATTTGGTTTTTATTTCAAAGCATAGGGGAAAAAGATAAATTTTGTCTACTTAAGCCAGATTTCATGGCATTGGTCCCCTAATCCAGAAATCAGGATTATATATATATATATATATATATATATATATATACAAAAGAAATCCATTGCAGCTCAAGCTAATCGCAGACAAGAATATCTGTATCGAGTAACACAGAGTGAATAACTCTTGTCCTCAAGAAAGTGTGCTATACTGAGGTATAGTTCCGCTTGAAAGTGTTTTAGTTACAATGGAATTTACTTGCTTTCTTTTTATATGGTGTCTTTTATATCAAGAATGAACAAGACCCTTTAAAAATATACAATATTCCATGAAAAGACAAGAATCTAAAAGTGTAAAAAAAGTGTGGCACCAGGTGAATTCGAACCACGACTCAAAAAAGTATCTTCAGTATATATACCCAGCTGTTTTACTGGTTTCCAGGAAATTGTTCACTCCTATTGGTCAATTCTTTTCAAATAGTGAATACATCCTTTCTTGACAAGCAAAAAAAAAAGTCCATTCCCAAACATTAAAAAAAAAATCCTATTTCGTGGTAGTGATGGTAGTGTGACTAGTGTCCACATTTTTTGGGGGGAGGGGGGGGGGGGGGGGGTCCAAAGTCATTATTTGCTTCAATATATACTTTATTTACTCTGCAAATTCCAGAGGGGGTCCAGACCCCCCCCCCCCCCCCCCCCCCCCATTAATTAAGACAGTTTGCTGGTGACAAAGTGCCCGGATTAATAAGGTTCGACTGTAAATTCAGTATATATCTGCATGTAATATACTTGATATTAAGGTAATGGTTTATATGTTTACATTGCAGATAGATGTGAACTGGGATGATGATGCAGTAGAGGCAACTGTAAGTAGTAAATTAAAAAATAATTGTGTATTCATGCCAAGAAAAGCAATCTTTTTAGTACAAATGTATGTGTATGTGCTTTACCTAGAGAGAAGTTTTAATTTACCTCTGTATTCTGCAATAAATTGGGGGAAAACATGTACAACACTGGTTCAGTTAAGAAAATATTTGTTAAAATTTAAGTTAACTAGTTAATTAAGAAATTACAATTATGTAACACAGAAATTCAAATGTGGAATTAGACTGTTTAAAGGAGTCTTAATCAGTCTATTGAATGAATATACCCCGACTGAGATTCTTTGTTTCACATTTCACCTTTACTATTGATTCACTTACAAATCTTTGGTGACGATTTTCTCTTTTTTTATAAAGGCACCAAGCTTTCCAGCCTTTGATGCCGCCATTAAGAAGGCCATTAAAATGTTGGGTGGTAAAGTGTTCCCTAAGCTGAACTGGAGCTCTCCCAGGGTAATAAGTTCATGTCAATTCTGGTGATTCATTTAACTACATTGCATACATATTATACTTTTATTCTGATTATCTGTATCATGAGCATGTCTACAAGTAAGTATAAAAATTATTTAATTAACTATAAGAAAAAATTTCAGTTCAGTTGGACTTAGGATTAATATTCTGGCTTTTATCCCCTAATGGGACACCATTCTTACAATTATTTTGTATATAAGAGTGATGAAAGCTTTCAAAATATTAGCATAGCTTACAGTGAATTTGCTCTTGTAATGGGAATTTTACTAATTTTTAGCTCTACTGGTCAGAGACCAGAAGAGCTTATGCGATAGTAAGGTGTCCGTCGTCTGTCTAGCTGTCTGTCTGTCTGTCTGTCCGTCCGTCTGTAAACAATTTTTCAAAATGCTACTCCTCCTACAGTTTTGGTCTGATTTCAGTATAACTTGGCACACAAGTAGACTACACTAAGATACATAATTCTGTGTATCGGTTTTTGATTTCAATGAACGGTGTTGCCATGGTTACTAAAAATAGAAATTTCTGTGAAAAACATTCAAAATGCTACTCCTCCTACAGTTTTTGTCTGATTTCAGTATAACTTGGCACACAAGTAGACTACACTAAGATACATAATTCTGTGTATCGGTTTTTGATTTCAATGAACGGTGTTGCCATTGTTACTAAAAATAGAAATTTCTGTGAAAAACATTCAAAATGCTACTCCTCCTACAGTTTTGGTCTGATTTCAGTATAACTTGGCACACAAGTAGACTACACTAAGATACATAATTCTGTATATCGGTTTTTGATTTCAATGAACAGTGTTGCCATGGTTACTAAAAATAGAAATTTCTGTGAAAAACATTCAAAATGCTACTCCTCCTACAGTTTTTATCTGATTTCAATATAAGTTGGCACACAAGTAGACTACACTAAGATACATAATTCTGTGTATCGGTTTTTGATTTCGATGAACGGTGTTGCCATGGTTACTAAAAATAGAAATTTCTGTGAAAAACATTCAAAATGCTACTCCTCCTACAGTTTTTATCTGATTTCAATATAACTTGGCGCGCAAGTAGACTATACTAAGATACATAATTCTGTATATCGGTTTTTCGATTTCGATGAACGGTGTTGCCATGGTTACTAAAAATAGAAATTTCTGTGAAAAACATTCAAAATGCTACTCCTCCTACAGTTTTTATCTGATTTCAATATAAGTTGGCACACAAGTAGACTATACTAAGATGCATAATTCTGTATATCGGTTTTTGATTTCGATGAACGGTGTTGCCATGGTTACTAAAAATAGAAATTTTAGTCTGATATAATAATAAATCTTGCCACAAATGAGACTAAACCAAGGATCATTATTCTGTTTATTGCTGTTGCAAAGTTTCAAGTCAAAGTGCTACTTTTATCTTCCTTTATAAATACAACCAGTAGAGCTACAGTCTCGTCAGAGACTTCTGGTTTACAGGATGCCACATGGATAGCCTTTGACAAAAGTCTAAAATGTACATGTCCCAGTGATGTGTATTTACTACTGAAGAGTTCAGAGTTCATAACCCATGACCTCACTCAACCGTAAGTTACATGAACATGTCCCTGTTGTATAAATTACTTGTAATGTATAAGGAGGGGTAGAAGGAGAAATCTGCTCAGTATTATTTTTTTTTTTTTTGGAATTGTTATCATAATTAGGAAATTCAATATGAATTTGTTTGCTACAGTAAATGGTGCAATGTACATGTAAACAGTAAAACATGTTAACAGCAAACATGCTTATAATGAATTGACACTTACATGTAATTACAACAAGTTAAAGTGATTTTCATTCCCCATAATTTAAAAAGTATATTATAAACTGAAGGGACATGTCCACTTACGCTTATATAACAAAGGAAATTCTCCCATCTCTGGCACTTCATTATAATAAGCATATTTTACTGTATGATGTAATATTTCTTGCTATTGTTTCTTTATAAATATTCTATACACTTCCAGGTTTATTCGCTGTGAAGACTTTGATGAGAGTGGTGATCAGACCAATGTAGGCTACAGCTTAATATTAAGAAAATGGCAAGACCTCAATCCAGGATATGAATTCAGGTGTTTTGTTAGGAATAACAAGCTAATAGGTGAGAATTTTTGCTACACATTTAAACATTTTATGTGTTTGTATAATTTTTTTTATCTTAAAACATGAAAAAGTGATTTGAAAGTAACAAGTTTTTTTTTTTTTAATAAATATTAGAAAAATTTTAAGAGCAAACCAAAATATAGCAAACTGAAAATGATTTATTTTGTAATGATTTTTTATTTTTGGATAGGTATTTAGCATTCATCATTTAGAATCAAACTGAAATTCCGTTTTTTGCTTATTATATGAGGGTCATTCAAAAAATTTGTAGACTTTTATTATATAAGTGTAAGTGGATGGTGTATGAGGAAACAGCTAGATTATCATAAAAAATGTGGTCAAAAGAGTTTATAACATTATGGAAAGTGATGTGCACTTCACTATTGTGGAACTTGTAAAAGCAGAGTTAGGCAGTAAAGAATTTGGAAAAGCTGTCGATCTAATTTATGCTACTCAAACAATTGTTAACAAACTGTGTGTCCTGTATCATGGAGATGTTTTTAATGAGTTGTTAAGGCACTACAGTCGGTTTGCGAAATGCCAAGTGAGAGTAATTTTGTATAACTTTCATGAGGTTGTATGTCTTTGAAGTTACAATGTTGTTAAGATCGAGTGCTCTGTGATTACAAAACTTGTTGCCATAACATTAATAAACACATCTATTGAAATGAAGTGAATCTTCACACAGATAAAATAAATCTTTCACAGTTGAAAATATGTTGATCTTAAACATGTTAATTCTTGTAAAAATAATCATGATGATATGATGAAGAGGAGCATTGTCAACATATTTTTTTGAATGACCCTCGTATTTCTTTAGATTTTCTTTTTCAGGTAAATCATGTATGTATGTAATTTTGCTTAAATGTTGTTCATATATATACCTTTTCAGCAATATGTCAAAGAAACCACACAGCATATTATGAGTTCATCAGACAAGAAAAAGAAGACATTGTATCAGACATACAGTCCTTTTTTTACCACTTAGTCAGTTTGAAATTTCCTAATGAAAATTGTAAGTATTTACATAAATAAATAAATAGAAATTCATTTTTCTAATTTCCCTTGCAGTTAAAAGCATGTACTGTAATGCAATATGGAAACAGGAATATGAAATTTTTACTCAAGCTTACATGTGTAATACATGTATTAATTGTGTAGCTGGTTCTTTGTAGATGTGTTTGATGTATACAGAAGAGATCAGGTGTGTATAATACTAATAAAATTTTATATAAATGAACAAACTGAAAGTACACATATGTACCATAAAATCTTGTGGTATTTGTGAAATATTTCTAAAACTGAATTGAGATAATTTTGTTTTGTAGAGAGATCAATTCAGTTTTAGAAATATTTTTATGTAACAATAAAGCACGCATGTACAAATGTAAATGTATTCAGAGCAAGGATTGAATATTTACAGAATAGCTAAATATAAAAAAATTACATTTATCCAGTATTAGATAAATGAAATATCCATTTGATTTGATTGATTTAAGTTGGTTGTTGGAGAGTTATATTTTTACTTTATATAAATTCTGATTGTGTTGCAGGGGAAGATACTCTTGTTAGACTTTAATCCCTTTGGGGAAGTGACAGATGGTTTAATGTTTACATGGGATGAACTAACAGATAGTGACACAGAACTTAAAGGCACAGACAATGATACACAGGTAACTAATGTATACAAAGTCTGAGAAGTCTTAACAGGGAATTATCTTGATGCATTCAGACTAATTTGTATTATTTTTATGCCCCCGTATCGAAGATTATGGGGTATATAGTTTTTGCCCTGTCCGTCTGTCTAGCTGGTTGTCTGTTTGTCCACAAAAACTTTAACATTGCCCATAACTTTTGATTGGTTGGAGCTATGGTTTTCATATTTCACATGTGTATTCCTTGTGACAAGAACTTTCTTTGGGTACCACTATATTTGACCTTTTGACCTTAACCTTGGAGTTTGACCCAGTTTTGCAAAATTTTTCCCAACTTTAACCTTGGTCATAACTTTTGAACAATTAATGCTAGGGCTTTCATGCTTCACATGTGTAATCCTTGTGACAAGACCTTCCTTTGGATACCATCAACTTTGACCTTTTGACCTTGACCTTGGAGTTTGACCTACTTTTGAAAAACTTTAACATTGGCCATAACTATTGAACGGTTGGTGCTAAGGCTTTTATACTTAGCATATGTAATCCTTGTGGCAAGACCTTTCTTTGGATTCCAATAACTTTGACCCTTTGACTTTGACCTTGTAGTTTGACCTACTTTTAAAAAAACTTTAACATTGGCCATAACTTTTGAACAGCCAGCGCTAGGGCTTTCATACTTAGCATATGTAATCCTTGTGACAAGACCTTTCTTTGGTTACCAACAACTTTGACCCTTTGACCTTGGAGTTTGACCTACTTCTGAAAAACTTTAACCTTGGTCATAACTTTTGAATCATTGATGCTAGGGCTCTCAAACTTCACATATGTAATCCATGTGACAAGACCTTTCTTTGGATACCAACAACTTTGACCCATTGACCTTGACCTTGGAGTTTGACCTACTTTGGGAAAACTTTAACCTTGGCCATATCTTTTGAACCGTTGGTGCTAAGGCTTTCATACTTCACATATATAATCCATTTGACAAATCCTTTCTTAGGATACCAACAACTTTGACTCTTTGACCTTGACCTTCGACTTTGACCTACTTTTGGAAAACTTTAACCTTGGACACAACTTTTGAAAAGTTGTTGCTAGGGCTTTCATATTTAACATGTTTTTTCCTTGTGACAAGACCTTCCTTTGGATACCAACAATTGTAATCCATTGACCTTGACCTTGGAGTTTGATCTACTTATGAAAAACTTTAACCTTGGTCATAACTTTTGAACAATTGGTGCTTCAGCTTTCATATTTCACCTGTATTTTTCTTGTGAGAAGGCCTTTCCTTAGGCACCATTAATTTTGTCATTTGACCTTGACCTTCATGTTTGAATTACTTTTGAAAAACTTTAACCTTTTCCATATCTATTCAATGGTTGCTGATAGGGCTTTCATATTTCACAGGTATATTCCTCGAGACAAGACCTTACTTTGGGTACCAACATATTTGACTTGCATTTGAGAAAGTTTAATCTTTGCTATAAGTTGCCATACGGGAGCATCAGTGTTTCACAAACACATCTTGTTTTTCTTTAATGTTAATTTTTTTTTAATTGTTTCTACCAATCTGGGCACAATAACACAAATCGGAAGGTTAAAGGTCACGCTAAAAACACTGAAATTCCTTTTCCAGTCGCCAGTGTTCAGGTACAGAAACTCAGGGGGTATTCAGCCCAACCCTCTTTCAACATTCGGGGTTCCTAGAGACATTCTAGACTTGGCCACAGGAACAGATGCCAGTAAACTTGTGGACCTCCTTAAACTTGTAAGTTAAACTTTGTAAAAAAAAAAATTGAGACAACTTATGAAGTGATCAAGTTGATCCTTGTTGTCACCACCCATGCCAATTAATGTACATGTAGTTGCAATCATATATGCACGCATATAGGTTTAGATGGTGTATCATGTAACATAGAAGTGCACCATAATATTTTTTACAAGCATGAACAAAATAGGCAAAGATATATCAATTATGCATCCCTTCCTCAACCAAGTTTGTGACAGAAAACTTTAAGGACTAAAATTTCCATTTTTTTATAAACAGAGACAACAGCAAGAAGAAGACTCGTCATCGGAGGAAGAGACAGAAAACCAGCAGACATGATGATGATGTATGTCTTCTATAAGACTGAAAAATTTACAGTGCCAAACTAGCTCTGTGAAGACAACATTCACATTGTGTTACATTTGTAGCCACAAAGACATGCACTATTCATATATGCATATAATACATTTCCTCTGGCAGCATTTTTTCTTCACATTGAGAGAGATGTCATATTTTAGCAAGTTAATTAACATTGTCAAACTTGTGTAAGATCATATTTTCATGCTATATCAAGATCATTTTCAGACTTGACATCATTTTCACTTGAAGTTCACAACTTTTATTTGTACAAAATGTTTACTGTGATGGCCATACTTGTAATACAGTGTAGTTCAAGTTTTATACTAGACCAGTATGTCATACTGCAAGATCAGGCATCGTATGGGGATTTGTTAATCTTAGATGTGTGCTTCACAAAAACAATTTTCTTGACTTTGAAATATTTTCATTTTTTAAACTTTGAATTCGAAATGTAATATACACTTTAGTTCATATATATATTTTTTAAAATGTCCTTGTACTAGCTAGCATTGCCAATTTTTTTTAAACTTTAATAACAGTGTTAAAGTAATAGTAATAAATGTAAATTTATGGAATGAATTAATCATAGACTGATATGAAATAAAATGAACAGTTCAGCAAGTTTAGACATCTTTGGCCAATTAAAGAAAAGACTGCAATGAATAACCATTTAAAATTATCTTTCCTTTGATGGAAACATGGCAACTTCATTTGAACTGATGTATCTTGATCACCCAAATATTCTTTGAGACAAGTTTGGTTAGAATAGATAACTTCAGGTTGACAAATGGTGGGGTGAGTGGTATTTTTGAGCTCCTGGGATATTTCCAGTTGTATTTGCTCTTTCACACGTTTGTCTGGCCTATATGTGCAGTGTCCAATTATCAATTGCATTTGTGTTAGAAATTTAGAGTGATAAGCAGGAAGCAAAATTCTGGTGCTAAATATATTATCCTAATAATTTGACTACTACCCGTCACGCACGATCTTAATGGCGGACAAAGAGTTCACCTTTAGCGACCCTAAAATGGAAGTGGACAAAAGCCCATCTTGTAATCATAATCACGCTTCCCTGGATGAATTAAAAAAACGATTTGAAGGAAAAGATCTTGCGGATTGCTTCGCTATCATGTCCATGGACATAAAGGGTGTTCGAGGAGAAATCCAGGATGTAAAGCGACGAGTCAGTGATCTGGAAACTGAACTGCATGTGAAAATCTAAATCAGGACATTTCAGACATTCATCAAACATCTTTTCCTGAGGTGAAAGAGGCACTTAAGGGTGAGCGAATTGAGCGACTTAAACTTGAAATATTGGGCAGAAAATTGGAGTAAGAAGATGATATAACCCTTAAATATATCTATGTTAATATTTTTTCCGAGTTAATTTTATTTCACTACAAGGACTTGGCTCATAAGAATAGTATTGGTATATACTGTCCGTTTGCTCGCCATAGAAAATTTTATTAATTGATTACAAAAACATTAAGAGAAAATAAAATTCAACTTTTCTGTTTTTGGCAATAATTGCATTAAGTACTTTTTCCATGAAAATTCAAAATTTATATCAATCAGGAAATCATTAAAAAGATTTAATGAGATGATATTTTTATATATAAAGACTTGGTGCATGAAGGCACATACCGTAGCAGATATACATGAAATCAATTTGTTTGATCGATTTATTTGCTGTATCTAGAAACCAACATTTCTCTTGAAAATTTTGAAGAACTTCGCTGGAAATGGTTTTTTTTTCATCCCTCTGTCACTCCCTAGCTGTCGCTGTAACCCCATTTTGATGAAACTCTACGTGTACTGTGATCCCCATTGACCTTATCTTAATATGTCTTCATTAAGGTCTTCCGTCACAACGGAAGACCTTCTACTGATTCTGATGGTTAAGATTATTATTCTTTTTTTTTTCTTCTCCTTTCTAGACGCCAACTTTGAGGCCTCATATCTCACTCATTTCTCAACGGATTTTGCTCAGATTTGCAGGGTTTATAGACGTTACAAAACTCTATCAGAATGCTGTCAAACATGTCAAAAATCCACTTCCGCTTTTGAGTTATCTCCCTTTAAATGAAAATTTAGGACTCTTCATTTCCGGATAAAGGCTCCGAGACTACAAAAGCTGGAGTAGAAATTCTACCGAATTTAAATAATAGAAGCATTGAAGTTGTGCACATCTATTTTTGTTTTTTGATTTCTGTGTTCAAAATGGCGCTAGATAGGGGTCAAAAATTAGAACGCCTAAAAGCGCGAAAATTTACACATATTTTCCTATGTATCTTTTAAACTAAAAATATTTTGTTAAGACATGTTGAACAAAAGTTGTGCACAGTTTTAGGGTCTTTCATTTGGCACCTCCAAAAAGGGGCTGGTCTTTTAAATTAGGGATCTAGGGTCCTTGAAAGTTTTCGTTTTATAACTCAAAAACGGTAAATATTTCGATATAGCTGTCGCTAAAAAAGTTGTTCTTTAACATATTATTGATCTCGTGAACTTGTTATTTTGTTCGAGTCTTTTTTGATAAATGAGCTAGAAGCTTGACCCATATACAGGTATCTAGTTTCATTAGACAAGTGATGGTGAAATCTTTATGCGCATAACTGAAATAAACTTGCTATAAATGATAAACCTATCCAAAATAAATACTAATACTACTTTAAAATAAGTTTTTACGTGTTCTGTGGTTTCATTCCAAATTATTGAGTCGCACATTTTCAATACGTCTCGGGATTTGTTTTTGTTTATAATTACGTAACCGGCCATCCCCCGATCACGCGTGACCTAGATCCAGTGATCAGTGGTCATACACTAAACAGGCATTGCCGTTCTAAATCTATTTTGCAAACTCAACTATGTACGGATAATTGTTTTTTTAGTCAAATCGGATCTTTCCAATTATTTCATCTTATCTATGTTGGTCATGTTGGTGATATACTTATTAAATTATTGTGGCCGAAATTACAAGAGATCCATTGCGTGTGAACCAGCGACCTGCGTTCGTAAACAAAACATCTTTTCGTCGTTTAATGTTGAAACATAAACTATATTAAATTTTAAAAAAAAAATAAATAAATCAGTCTTTAACTGCATTTAACTGCGTTTCACATACACCCGGGTTTTGTGTTTGTTTACAATTATGTAACCTAATTATGTAGCCGAGGAAGCAGCTATTAGTGCTCATACACAAAACATTGTCGTTCTATATTCATTTTGCTGACACAATGATTTACGGAAAATTATTTTTTAAATCATACCGGATCATTCAATTAAATCATTTATTCTTATCTTAATTTGATTTAATTTAAATCCAAAACATTTTATTAAGGACGTATAAAGGTCCCCGATTTCATGAATCCTAATCTTTAAACTGCATACATGTATTTAATAAACGATTTATTTCTCGGTTATGTGTTATTATGTGTTTAATTTCGGAGATTCATTGCGTGTGGTTAATTCTGCAGATAATTCTAACTTGACACACAAGGTTTGTAGACAAAGAATTCAAAAGAGATATATTTTGAAAACAATAAGACGCATTGCTAAACACTTTTACATTATTTTCTTTTCAAAATGGCTATCTTTATGATTACACCAACTTTTAACATGCTATGTGAAAAACTCTGTCGACTATAGTTTTGTAACTCCAGCATATGACAAGTACATGTGCTTTTTATTAAACACCCAATTTTCCATTAACGCCCACAAAATCTACCTAGCTTAAGATCGATAACATACCGCCCGACAATCATACAAAATAAAACAATAGCTGCTGATTTGATTGACAGGCCAGCAACCTGCGCTACCTGATACTGTAGTCTGAGTTTGCATGTTTTGAAAGCAATTACACGTACCTGGTCACGCGTCAAACGCTTTCATGTAAAAGTCGCTTTGTATACACTCTGGTAAAAACTTATATCTTTGTTGGTAATTATGTTTCACAAAATAATTGAGAGAAGAGAATTAAACTTTGAGTTCATTATTTTTATTTTCACTGCTGTTTTGTACACTGTACTTGTACGCGATATGTCGTCCAAGATAACTGTACAGCTTTCCGAAGAAAAAAAAACTGGCAGCTATTCGAGCCCCTTTTCGCCTTCAATGTCCTCTTCAAAACACACCTGTTTACAGAGAAGAGATCATAATATTCAATAAAATATTTCATATTACATGTAATCTGATTTTGTATGTATAAGTATCTGAAAGGCTATATTGTGCTGAATTTTTTTTAAAATACATGTTTTATGTAATACATATTTTTTAGCATACGATAAAATATCGCCAACACTATAAGCTTATTTATTTCTAATGTCCAGAACTGTGTAACGTAAATGCCATGCATTTAAGAAGTATGTTAACTTTTTATAATTTAATTACACTTGCACACGCGGTTCAAAAAAAAAAATGTACAAGGAGTACATATACATGGACTTGAATATAACAAACTTATTAGCACATCTAATGATGAAAATGAAAATAATTGATAATACACTTTTACAACTTCATTTCAATGATAAGTTATTCTTAAACTTTACTTCAAATGTCAGAAAGGCCAGCACAGCCAAACTACTGTTAATTGTCTCTGTTTTAATTATAATGTCAATCACAATAACTTTTTTCTTTAGATCCCTTCATTTCTTATCTGTACATAGTTACATGAAATCCATGCACGGCGCTACACCTATCAATCAAAATTGTAAACTTCTGGTGCCACGGAAGCATTTCCCCTGTGGTGTTGAATATTCTTTAGGTCAATTCTTATTTTACGCTTTTATAGATACAGTGTAATATTTCGAAACAACGTTTTAATTAAGGCTGAAGATGCATGCTGTGAATTTATCAAACCTGCAGTCCTAATTGACGATCCGTTCTTACATGTATATTATAATTAATCAGAGAGTCCAGTATTTGTGACAAATTTTGATTGAGATTTCACTTTCCCTTTAGGATAAACGATTCATTAAATAGATTATGCATATGAGATGGATAGCTGTACTACATATAAATGTATACTTTTCACTTTGTAACAAGAATCTGTCATTGACAATTAAAAGTGAAGAGTTTAGGTAAAAGACTTTGACAAATGACAAGTTATTCCTTCTTAGTCACTTTATAGCTTAAAGCTATATGGTCGTGCCCCCCCCCCCCCCCCCGCAATTATGTTTTTATTTTAATTTTTTTTTTTTTTGCTTAGATATCAAAAAATTTGATTGTTTGTGCCCCGTCCCAGAAAAAAATGAAATTGCGTTCTACAGGCTTAAGTCAGAACATGATTTTCATAATGAAAATACATTTATCAAAATGTTTCTACCCCTACGATTCGTAGTTGTGGTTTCGAATACCACCACGTCGCCCGCGTGGCGCAGTGGTTTGAGTGTTTGCTCTAGAGTCGCGGAGTAAGGAGTTAATCTTTACGTCGTGGGTTCGACTCCCTCTGCGGGACATGGAGACCGGTCCT